TATCTCTCTATAAATAGAGCGATCAAGGTAAATGGAAAGTTGGCTTGAAAAACTTTGAGAAAATCTCTCAAAATTCTCTCTTTACAAATACTAAATTCCTATCAAGTTTAGTGACTCACTTGATTCCAGCCCTGTTCTAAGGCCGGAGAATAGTAAGGAAGACACTACTGGTGGTTCGAAACCGGTTCATGAGAAAAAAACGAATTTGAACTACAAAAGGTTAGTATTCAAACTCATTGAGTTTTAATGCTTTTGAACATGCTAACTAATTTACTATAATTAATGTACTTAAAGTGCCTAAGATCCAAATGGCTTCCGCACGTGTTATAGTAACACCATTAGTGACACCGTTATAAGGTGCCTTGTTTTCCTCTCCAACCAATTCGAGATCTCACATTAACAAACCATACGGGTGCACTTTAAAGAGATACGTCAGGGAAGATGAAACCCTTATCTAACAAGACTTACAATTGCTCCTTGAGTTCTTTTAATTCTGCTAGTAACATCTGTGAAAACCATACTATGAAGAGAATAGATTCTGACCCTCCTGTCAAAACAAGCAAAGCGGAAACCCTCAAGTGACGCACATTCGATCACACGAGGCCCAATATAGAAGAATGTCATGATGTGACTGAGGAGGATGGTGCATCATCCAACTCACCATATAACGTGCATATTGAAAAGGAAGTAAGACATAAGTAAGATAGGAACAAGGAGCAAACATGAGTGTCACAAATAGGCTTATTAAAGGGTCGGGTCGTGAGCTTTAATCTCAAAAGTTGAGATTCTTAAGGGAATTTAGAAATGTGGTTCTAAAGTCAAGTATGTCCCTATGAAATATAAAAGCTCGCAAAATTTGGTGTCAATCAGACATCGGACGGACGCTCCACGACACCATATGTTCATTCGCCAAAATCATGTTTACACCCACCAATTTGAAAATGCCTCAAAATGTACTATAAGGGGAGACAAGGTGTCAGCTCTCCACCCGTCCTAGGCCCTCTGGCCTAAGTGAGCTACCTGTGGCACATATGTATGTTACAATGAGAATGAGCATTCTAAGACAAGTGTCACACGTGACTTCCTTTGAAATGGGTCTTTTAAGAAAAGTACTGAGCGACATGGGTGTGCTGGTTTTACACTTTAGGCCATGTGTCAGAGGTTGGATTATGCATCTACTCTCTAATATGGAGTACATAAATGATATGGCATGGACACGAGAGGGCCAATGCCACGATATATTTTATATGGATACATGTTTGGGATATCTCAAAGTTATGAACAACACGTGGACTCGTTCTCGATGGCATGACCGAGCGAGCTACGTTGACCGATGACACCCCATGACTTGGGATGATGTCAAGACATATGGGTCATGTTTCTTGGGAACCAAGATGATGTTGGATGTGGCATTGTATTGAGAGACCTTGGCCTCGATCAAAGGCAAGGACGAGTCGAATGACTTGACCTAGTGTAGAAGCAAGTTGGTTGTGTCGCAGACGATTGAACATACCCGCACAGACATCGTGTGTGGCCGAATAAGCTTAGATTCTGTACAAGTGATATCCGGTGGGTGAAGATAAATCTTGCCTAAGGTTCGATTCATCCACAAAGCTGGGGGAAAAATGAATATGGTTATTTTTTATTTTATTTTTTTCAATTCCTTTGGCCTATTAGCTCAATTGGTTAGAGCGTCGTGCTAATAACGTGAAAGTCGCAGTTATGTAACCTAAACTCGATTGACTGGATTAGGAGCTACCGGTCTGCAATATGCATAAAACCTATTGTCTATTAGCTCAGTTGGATAGAGCATTGTGCTATTATCGTAAAAGTCGTAAGTTTGACACTTGTATTAGCCAATTTCATTAATTCTCTTAATTAAGGGGTTACATAAAACTTTTGGCCTATTATCTAAGGTCACAGTCACATTCTCAACGATACGAGCACTACAAAATTAGCTTGATTGGATACAAAATTTGTGTCGTGCTCATAGCACGAAGATCGTAAGACACCTGCATAGGCCAATTTTATTAATTTTTAATAATATCTTTTCACGATACGATGTTACAACACTACGAACTTTAAAGATAATGACTTAAAATTTGAAAGTTTTAAGTTTTATTATGCATAAAGAAATGTAACTAAACTCAATTGGCATTAGGAGCTACCAATTCCCTTAGGCATATTAGCTAAGTTGGTTAGAATGTCCTGCTAACAAAATGTGAAGATGCTAATAATGCGAAGATCACACGTTTGAAACTTGCATGGGCCAAATTTGGTTTGTCTAAAAAAGATTGGTCAGCGGTCAGCATAATGGCCGCATATTTTGTTCGTCCTTGGTTGGAGAGTTGTTTATGTGGGAATGAGAATAATTTTTAGACTGATCTAAAATAGATGGGTCGACAGTCAGTATAATGGCCGCATATTTGGTTCGTCTTCGGTTGGAAGAGTTCTTTCTATAGGAATGAGAACGATTAATGGCTGCGAATGTCGTATGAGCGGAGTCAGAAGACTGAAGGAGCACTGAAAAATAGGGAAGAGGGGTGAGAGCGCAGTAGAAAAAGCTAAAAAATCGATGTCGAGTGCCGAGTGCCGAGTCCATGAAGGAACCAGTGCACTTTATCAATGTCCTCGACGAGCCTGCAAATTGCATGAAATAAGTGTTTTGTATTAAATATTTGCCTGATGGATCGGTCGAGCATTTCAAGACTCATCTTGTTGCCAAAGGTTATACTCAAGTTCTTGGTCTTGACTACACCGACACTTTCAGTCTGATTGTCAAAGTTACCACTGTCCATGTTGTGCTTTCTATTGCGGTCACAAATAAATGACCTCTTTGATAACTTGATGTCAGGAATACTTTTCTCAATGACACTATTATTGAACATGTTCATATGGAACAACCTCCTAGTATATTCATCCTTCATTTCTCACTCATGTCTGTCTATTAAAGAAAGCCCTTGATGGCTTAAAGCAAGCTCCTCACACCTAATTTTAGCATTTTAGCTCATTTCTTCTCCCACTTGATTTTTCTTACCGTCACGCTGGCACGCCCCTTTTTATCTTTCACTAGCAATCTAACCTTATCTATTTGCTTCTTTATGTTGATGACATTATTGTTACCGACAACAATTCATCTCTTATTGACAGTTTTACTGGCAAGCTTCCTTCTGAGTTTGCTACCAGAGATTTGGGTTCTCTCAGTTACTTTCTTGGTCTTGAAGCTTCACCCACTCCGGATGGTCTCTTTATTAGTCAGTTAAAATATGCCCAAGATATTCTTACTCGTTCTCAGTTGCTCGATAGCAAACCTGTCCACACTCCCATGGTTGTTTCTCAACGTCTGACTACTGATGCTTCTACTTTCTCTGATCCTACTCTCTATAGATCTCTTGTTGGTGCCCTTCAGTACTTGACGATTATGCATCCAGATATTGCCTATGCTGTCAATTCTGTCAGTCAATTTTTGCATGTCTCTACTGCAGATCAATTTCTTGCTGTCAAACATATTTTTCGCTTTGTCAAAGGAACACTTCACTTTTGTCTTACCTTTCGTCCATCCACTGTTCCTAGTGCGCTAGTGGCTTTTTCGGATGTCGATTTGGTTGGTTGTCCCGATACTATTCGTTCTACATCTGGCTATTCTATTATCTTGGTAACAATCTCGTTTCTTAGAGTGCCAAAAAGAAACCTACTGTCTCATGCTCTAACTGTGAATCTGAGTATTGTGCTTTTGCCACAACTGTTGCTGAACATCTTTTAGATATGCATCTTTTGCATGACCTCAAGGCACCTATTTCACAGCATCCCTTGCTCTTATGTGACAACAAAAGTGCTATTTTTTTTAGCTCTAATCTCATTTCTCACAAGCAGGATAAACATGCTGAACTAGATTATCATTTCCTTCGAGAACTTGTTATCACTGGCAAAATTTGCACACAATATGTACCTTCCCATCTTTATTATCGTTGGCAAACTTCGCACACAATAACTTCCATCTACATGTTGCTGACATCTTCACAAAAAATGTTTCTTGACATCTCTTTGAATTTTTTAGATCCAAGCTTCACGTTCATTCAAATCCGACGCTCGGCTAGTGGGGGGTGTTAAGGATATTTGACCATTTATTAAAAGAAAATATCTACATATTTGCCTTGCATAATACCATGACCAAAATTGAAAGAAACGAAAGAAAGAGATGTATAAATGGAAAATTCTGAAACGAAGGAGAAACCCATATGGTTAGTGGGTACACACCCAGATATCAACAATCACATTACCCCTTGACTCGTCCCTATTCACTCCAATCACCATACATAACCAATTTTCTACACCGTACCCTCTACAAACACCAACCCAAGACCCACAACCCACTTTGATAAGGATCAAATTTGAACAGTGGATCTTTTTTATTTCATCTTTTATTATTTTATTAGAAGGAAATATATTCTATTTATTTTTTATTCTTTTATTTTATTGTTATTTCCATATTATTTGTAATTTACCATAATTCTTTATTCTCTAAATCATTATAAATAAAGAACATTCACCACCATTTATGTTCGGTGGTTTTAGCAAATATTATCAGGTTAGAGCGTCGTGCGAATAATGTGACGTTCGAAGGTTCGACACCTGCATTGGTTAATTTAATTTATTCTTCTTGATATAAAACTAAACTCGATTTGAGTTACTGATCTGCAATGTGCATAAAACTAAGTTTGATAGAACGTCGTGCTAACATTGTTGACACTTGCATGGGCTATTGATCTGGAATGTGCATAAAACCAAGTTTGTTAGAACGTCATGCTAACATTATTGACACTTGCATGGGTCAATTTCATTAATTCTCAATGATATCTTTAAAAATACAGGGTTAAACCACTACAAACTTTAAAAGATAATGACTTAAAGTTTTAAGTTTGTTAGGCATAAAATTATGTAACCTAAAACTTGATTGATTGGATTAGGAGCTAACGATCTACAATATGCTTAAAACTTATGGCCTATTAGCTCAATTGGTTAGAGCGTCGTGCTAATAACGTGAAGGTTGCAGGTTTAACACCTGCATGGGTCAATTTCATTGATTCCTAATAATATCTTTTCATGATACAAGGTTATAACACTACCAACTTTAAAGATAATGACTTAAAATCTCAAGTCTTAAGTTTTATTATGCATAAAACCTGAACGTCGGCTAACAAAAAGCGAAAGTTTGACAAGTTTGACACTTGCTTGGGTCAATTTAATTAATTCTCAATGATATCTTTAATGTTATGGGACGGGATTAAAGCATCACAAACTTTAAAAGATAATGACTTAAAGTTGTAAATTTATTATTTATAAAATTATGTAACCTAAACTCAATTGACTGGATTAAGAGCTATTGATTCGTAATGTGCATAAAACTTATGGCCAATTAGCTTAGTTTGTTAGAGTGTCGTGCTAAGAATGTGAAGGTCATAGGTTTGATACTTGCATCGGAATTTTTTTTTTTTTGAGGTGCACTAAAGAGAATGATGCCCTTGGGTTACACAACAAATCAAGTGGATTTATTTTTTGTCTCATAATCTCCCATTCTTATACATGTCATAAGACGTCATTTAAATAATATCTTTTCATGATATGGGTTATAACACTATGAGTTATATTTAACTTATGAAATCATCCCACGATAGATAATACGTTCATATGATTTTGAGCGATACGTTGACTCTATTAACGCCGTTCTCCAGAGAAGGTAATTGGAACCATAATTCCTTTTACTATTATTATATTCTGGAGGAGACTTGATCTTCACATGGTTGAGACACCTGCACACAAATTGAACAGGCGCTATAATTCTTGCCGGAAGAGTTATGCTATCAATACCATGGCTGAGAATGAGAAGCTAAACGGGTAATTTAGAAATTCTATGGCTCGAATCTTTAGTATTCTCTTATTTATTACTTGAAATTTAAACATAATGACTTAATTTGAGAGTTAGTTTAATGTTTTATAATGTAACTAGTCAAAATCAATTGAAGGGTATGACGATCATTTCGCCCTCAAGTTACTTTACGGGTTCATGAGAGGTCATGAAAAAATACCTACAATAAAGAAAATGGATTTATTTTTTGTCTCATAATCCCCCATTCTTATACATGTCATAAGACATCATTTAAATAATATCTTTTCATGATACGGGGTTATAACACTATGAAATTTAAACATAATGACTTAATTTGAGAGTTAGTTTAATGTTTTATTATGTAACTGGTCAAAATCAACTATCATTTCACCCTCAAGTTACTTTACGGGTTCATGAGAGGCCATGAAAAAATACCTACAATAAAGAAAACAGGAAGACTCACTGAAAACTACCGTAGGAGCCCATTCCAGTCAAGACCATGATGCAAGGAGCCTTTCTTGGAAGGAAGAAGAAGATTTGGGTGGCTAGAGTCCTATTTTTCTGTCATGAACCGAGGAGACGCGTGAGGTAACCTTTCAACGTTTTTCTTCTGAAATGAGCCATTTCTTACGAGTTAAGGTCTAATATTTCGATATGTTCTTATAGGAAGGATTCCCCACAGTATTCATGAAGAATCATAGCCGAAATTTTGGTCTAAAGGCGGATTTTCGAGAGTTCTTCCAAGAACAAGAAGGAGGTGAATGAACTGACTTTGAAGGCTCATAACTTAGTATGTGATGATGTGAAAATTCAAGAAAATATATTAGGACGAAGTTTTTATTACAATTTAAAATTCTTCGAATAAAACAAATCACCATGAAGTCTAGATCAAAAGAATGAAAATGAGAAAAAATGAAAAATTTAAAAATGAAAAAGTTAAATCAGATTTTGTGTTGCGGCGAGCCACGTGTCAACCTGCGGGAGGGAAAGTGCGTTGGACAACTTGAGGGACACACGTCAACGATTGGGTGGAACAATGCGTCAGGCACATTATGGAGCGATGCGACTCCACTCGATATGCAACACATGACAGGTCTTCCAACCCACATCTGACCAAGTTTGACTCAAAGGATGTTTGATCAGATCTGCATGGTGCCACGCGTCAACATAAGGAATTTCACTTCCCAGCGTGCACCTCCAGATTTGAACCCATGACTCATTAGCTGCTGACCAACTTGAGCACGCCATGGTAGCACCTAGACGTGCGTCCTCTTCCGTCAAGCGCATTCGTATGGGCGCGTGGAGCGTCTTTCCGGTGATTGGAAGCATGTGTTGCATGCATGAAGTTTAGTTTCCTTCCTGTTCGACTTCTGTTTGCTCGATTTTTATCTCGATTCTAATCCTAATCATATTTTTAAGTGAATTAGGACCTAATTGGACAAAATGAGTATTTTTGGATACGTTATTTGTCTAGAAACACTAAACGAAAGTCACGCATCAATCATGTTAGTCACCATATGGTATTTAGGAAGCCATACTTGTAGGAATCGCTTGAAATACATGCATGCTAATGCATTTACCTTAGGTGGTAGCTTTCCATGAGAGAATGTAGTTAATTTGATTGTTATGAGTATGGATATACTATGTGTAATATTCTGAGTGTTACTCGAGTGTTGCAAGTATGCTTTAATCCTCCACTATTTATGTATATGTTTAATTCATGCTGAAAAGAGGGTGAGAAATTGAGAACTTTGCCCTCTAGGAGGCTTGATGGATGTTATCACCCCATTGAGCGTGTATGTTTACTTTGTATGAATTATGTATGATAATGCTAGATGACGGTTATATTCACACTCAGTTATTTTCCATGACCCAATAATATGATAAGCCTATGGATTTGTGGTTAGAAGTGACAAGTCACTGAGTCTAGACCTAAGGAGCCTATCAGATCACCACGGCAAACAAAGTACCTTAGGAGTGTTCTTAGGCTACAATTTGTATGAACGGTGTCTATAGCTTCGTGGGAGGACCAAGGGTTCCTAATAAAACTCACTGTTCCTAGCCGTTTTGCATGGAAAAGTGTCCCCATGTCTTACAGACCACTAGCTGGGAAAGGAGGGGTCACGCCCCCCAATAAGGTGGTCTATCATGGGCCTAGGAGGTACTCAGCACACCCCTGGTAAGATACCATATAGTCTTAGAATGCCATGCAAATGTTGCGCCTCGTAGAAAGACACTGGTCATTAAAGCTTGGCATAAGGAACTTTTATGATTTAAATGAAAGGATGGAGAACCAAAGAAGCCCTAAGGGCCTAATACTAGAAGCAGACGTCCTATAGCCAAAGAGAAGTCCGTAGGAATCTTTTAAGCTTAGAATGTGATGAGAGCCTACAAGTAGGTGACTTACTGATTATAATTTTTATACTCATCCTAGGTTTCAAGGATTCCTATTTTTTAAAAGTTTTCGCAGGCTGCCAGTCGAGGTTGAGGAGCGTTTAAGAGCTGTACAGTAATAAAGAGGATCTTTCCAAAGTGTCAGTAACCTTTCAGTCATTTTGGAGTCTTTTGTGTTTCCTTGTTTAATTTGTATTCCCTTTGTAATATTTTGAAAAAAATTCTCTTTATTATGTTTTATTTAAATAATATTATAACTTGTACTTTTCTTTTCTTTTCTTTTCTTTTTGTTTGTTTTCTCTTTTGCCTTTTGGGTTACGATCCGAGATTTCGAAGCCTCGAAAATTTTGTTGTGACAGATTTGATCTAAGATTTTGAATGGTTCAATAAAGCATGGGCTCAGCTTTCCTTTACATCTAAAACTTAGGACGCCCTTCAAAGGAGTCTCCTTCAAGAATACCATGTCCCCTAAACTCATATGCCTCATTTTAGTTTAACTCTTTTATCTATTCTAAGTCATGCACATTATTGTTCTAATCTTTTTCAGGGCCTCATTGGTAGCTTGAACTATCTCTTGTCCTTACAACTCCCATTCACCTACCTCGTCTCAACACATTCAGGTTCTTGTGGTTAGTGTAAATATCATAATTCTCTCCATACAAGTAGCCACTAGAATTTAAGTACAAGCACTACCATAGCTAACTCCAAGTCATGGGAGAGGTAGTTCTGATAGTCCTTCAACTGAAGGGAAGCACAAGCGATCACCTTCTAACTTGCATCACTATACATCCTAACCCTTTCTTAGTGGTGTCACTATAAATCACATAACCTCCTGAGCTCTCTGGACCTATGAGCACTAGGGCCGACACTGACCTCTACTTCAGATCTTGGAAGCTAGCCTTACATGTTTCATATCATATAAGCAAAACACCCTTCCTAGTCAAGTGCGTGAGCGATGAGGCTATCTTGGAAAAATCTCGTACGATTCACTGATGTACCCTACTAATCCCAAGAAATTGTGTACCTTAGTAATTACAGTCCGGTGAACCCACTTGGTGACAACTTCCACCTTTGTTGGGTCCATTGAAACCCCATCCTTCAACACCATAGGTAACGACCCAAAATTTTCTACTTAATTTAAGGTCGCTACTGTAAACATACATAAACATTGCAAAAGACTTCATTTAAATTCCATAAAACATAACCTTTATCTTAAAACACAGCCATGGACTTACGTGTTTCGAAAACATCTTTAAAACAATACAACAAAAGACTAAATAAAAATGAATAAGAGTTTAAGTTAAAAAAACATCCTACTCTAGCCTAAGACTAAGAAAATAAATACCACTACCCTATGCATGTGCCATGGTCTCGAGTTGCGATGTCGTCGTCAGCCGTACAAAAATGTCTTGCCTTAACCTGAAAAATGTAGTAGTAAGTGACCCCACTATTGGGGTTAAATGCAACAATCACATGCAATGAAATGATGGGACCTATCTTTCGTTTCGTTTCATTTTCCCTACAGTGATGTCCTAATTGTTAATTGTGGACGTGTACCATATACTCTACACAGCCCATACGTGCGAGTATGGGCGCACCAGCTAGTTCGCACACCACTGGGCCACTTTCCTTATCCGATGGGCATACTCTAGGAGCCCCTTATGTCGGGACCCGTTAAAACTAGTAACTGTCACGGTAGCGCTATGCAAAGCATAATGATTGTTGTCCTGCCATTAGATGTACGCGTCCGTACCCTCGTGATGGGATAGGGGTATCCCCCCAGATACATCAAC